CGAAAAGAACGAATTTATTAAAATCTCCAAAAATTTAGAGTAGGTCAGATCTGAAAATAATTTTGTTAGATCAAAATAATTATATAGGAAATTCAAATATGATGAGCAGTACTGTAAAAAGTTTTTATATTTTAGCTATTAGTTTGAACTTTATCTTATATTTATAATATAATTATTTTGATCCAGCAAAATTATTTTCTGGTGCGCATCTAGCTAAGTCTATAGGTATTTCAGCAAAAATCATTCTTTTCGTGTATATTTATCAACTTGTGTGCTACAAGACAATGTCACCCATTAACAAAGCAAAAATTAAAACGCCTGTGTTTTACAAAGCATTTCTGCATCAAAGGACCGCTCTGCATCTACACAAAATCATCCTTACTTGAGAAAGGAAACAAATTTCATTGTTGTCGGATACAAAGAAACGTTGGAAGATGAATTCTGTCATCTTTTTGTTTATGAGCACAACGGATTTCAAACGCGGACGTGACGTAGTTTCCACGAAAATCCGCTTAAGTCGGCCGAAGTAATCGGATTTTAGAAAACCATTCCGACCGTTTCCTTTTCGCCGCAACTAACCGAGGGACGCCGTTTTCTTTGAGCAGATTAAAGTAACTGATGTTATATTCGTCAGTTAGTAAAACTAATATCGACTTTTGATACGCGCGCGTATCAAAGAGACATGCATCGAGAGATTCTCTATCGATTCCATCGAAACGAATGGTTTTATTAATTGCTGAGAAATTATTCGCTATCGCGAGACAGCAGACAAAACTGAAAAAATAGGACAGCGTGAAGAACGTAGAAAAGTATATATGGATCGTGGCGACATCGAGATGAAAACAAACACCGTAGTTGCTGACGCAGTCAAGCTATAATTTTGGAAGCCTGCCGGCGGCATAAGTTCGACGCCCTCGGAGGACCTGCGCTTGGCGCGTTTCCAGGTGTCAAGGATCATAGGTTGTCGGAGGCGTATCCTGTCTCTACCTTGGCTCTAGATCAAGCAAAAAGCGCGCATACGTCGATCGCAGGACAGATCTCATGGTGAAACTAGTTATATTACAAGTTAGTGTATGTTTATTTTTTATTATATATATATTTTTTATT